ATAACCCAAATATTTGATACTTTGTGTTTAATTTTAGTATTTTAATATTTATTGGCCATTTGATTTATGAGTTGGATATGTACTTTGTATTAAGTCTATGCTTTCTTAATATCCACTTTTTCCTACAAATACTTTTCTCATTTTGCCATTTGCTATTCAATTTTGTAAAATCTTTGAAATATGATTGAAAAGTTTTAGTTAATAAAATGAATTAATTTTTACTTGATAATTGCTTCCTATGGCACTATTTTTGGGAAATCCTTTATCTCCCCAGGCTGATTATAAATATTAATTTAAATTTCTAGTATGTTAATGACTTGTTTTACTTAAGTCCTTTAAACATCTGGAATTAATTGACACATATAGAGTAAGGTAGAGGGTCTAATGCTATTATTATTCAATAATCACTTTATTATTTATTTTTAAATATATTTTTATTTATTTCAGAGAGGAAGGGAGAGGGACAGAGAGAGAGAAACATCAATGATAAGAATCATTGATAGGCTGCCTCCTGTATGACCCCCACTGGGGATTGAGCCCACAACCTGGGCATGTGCCCTTGACCAGAATCGAACCCAGGACCCTTCAGTTCACAGGCCAACGCTCTATTCACTAAGCCAAACTGGCTAGGGCTATTTAGAAATCACTTTAAAGTGATTATATATTCACAGAGTTGTGCAGCCATCACCACTATCTAATTTTAGAACATTTTCATCATTTCAATGAGAAACCCTGCATCCATTAGCCATCACTCCTCATTACTGGTCCCCCTCTCGGCCCTAGGCAACTATTAATTACCTACTGTCTCTATGTACTTGCCTATTCCAGAAATACAATCATAGAATATGTGACCTTTGTATCTAGTTTCACAGAAATACAATCATAGAATATGTGACCTTTGTATCTAGTTTCTTTCACTTAGCATAATGTTTTCAAGGTTCATCCATGTTAGCATGTATCAGTACTTCATTTTTATTGCTAAAGAATATTCCATTGCGTGGATATGCCACATTTGTTTATTCATTCATCAGTTGATGGGTTTTCAAGTTGTTTCTACTTTTTGGCTATTATGAATAATGCTGCTCTGAATATTTGTGTGCAAGTCTTTGTGTGCAGATGTTTTCGGTTCTCTTGGCTATATACCTAGGAGTGTAATTGCTAGGTCAGATGGTAACTCTATGTTTAACTTTTAGAGGAACTGTCAACCTTTTCCAAAGGGAAAAGCAATATTGAGAGTCCAATTTCTCCACATTGTCACCAATGCTCCTTATTGTCTGGCATTTTGACTATAGCCATCTTTGTAGGTTTAAAGTGGTATCTCATTGTGATTTTGATTTGCATTTCCCTAATGACTTATGATGCTATCTTTTCATATGCTTTTCAGCCTATTGAACATTTATATATTTTTTAAGAAAAGGCTGTTCCCATCTTTTGCCCAATTTTATTTATTTATTAAAAGCAGCTTATTTTTTAATACATTTTTCATTGATTTCAGAGAGGAAGGGAGAGGGAGAGAGAGAAACATCAATGATGAGAGAGAATCATTGATCAGCTGCCTTCTGCATGCCCCACACTGAGGATGGAGCCCACAATCCGGGCATGTACCCTGACCAGAAATTGAACCATGACCTCCTGGTTCATAGATCTACACTCAACCACTGAGCCACACCAGCCTAGCACATCTTAAAAAAAATCCTCTGATTTTAGACATAGAGGAAAGGAGAGAGAGAGAGAGAAACATTGATTGGTTGCCTGTGTTATGAACCCTAAGCGCCCTGACCGGGGATCAAACCTGCAACCAGGTTTGTGTCTTCACTGGGAATTGAAAATGTGACCTTTCTGTGTATAGGACAACATTCCAACCGAGTCACACTGGCTATGGCTTACCCACTTTTAAATTGTTTTTTTGTGTGTGTGTGTTTTTTTAGTGTTTTATAAAAATTGATTTTAGAGAGGGAGGAATGGAGAGAGAGAGAGAGAGAGAGAGAGAGAGAGAGAGAGAGAGAGAGAGAGAGAGAGAGAGATAAGAGAGATACATCTATTGATCAGTTGCCTCTTGTATGCACCCTGACAGGGGATCAAACCCACAACCTCAGTATGTGCCCTGACCAGGAGTCAAACCTCGACCTCCTGGTGCACTGGAGGATGCTCCAACCAACTGAGCCACACCGGCCAGGGATTTTGTTTTTGAATTGCTAAAGTTCTTTCTATATTCTGGCTTTTCTCCTGCATTCAGTTTTTCAAATGAATTCAGACTAATTTCATCAACTTCTACCACCTTCTCCTTCTCACCTCCTAAGTTATTGGGTATTTTCCAACTAAAAGTAATCTCTTGGTCTTTGAGAGTTTGTTCCTTTTCTAAAGCTGTTATTTATGATCAAGCCTCGGCACAATCAAGGTGCATTTCGGCTCCTGTCTTTAGGATGGTCAACAGCCAGTGTCCAGGAGTCAGTCTAACGTTTAACATACGCCCGCTCCGCCGAAACTGCTGAGCCAGTCCCGCTGGGACAAAGCGAGGGAAGACAGCTCCCGGGAACACCAAGAGCGGTGGATGGGACAAACACACTTGAACAGTACCTGCCTTAAACCATAGAAACAAACACAATCTTCGTTTTTTGTGTTAATCTTCACCCGAGGATATTTTTTCTACTGATTTTTAGAGAGAGAGAGAGAGGGGGGAGAGACAATTGATGTAAGAGAGACACATTGATTGGTTACCTCCCCCACACGCCAACTGGGCCAGGGAGTGAACCTGCAACTCAGGTATGATGAGCCCTTGACCAGGAATCAAATCCAGGACCCTTTGGTGTGCTGGTGGACGCTCTAACCATTGAGCAACACCCGCTAGGGCAACGAACACAGCTACCCACAGCTGTAGCTCCTTGTTAGAGGGAGTGTTGGTGACAGGTGGGCGTGGAGAAAGGTGACATTGCTTCACCCAGTGAAACGTTTCTCCTAAGGACTATGCAATGCACTGTGTTCATCACAAGATGGGGGTGGGGTTAGCGTGGGGTTGTTAATCGAGTCACTTCTGACTTTCCCTATCCATTGGTTAGAAATACATCACTTTTGGAGGATGCTAAACTCAGTGATATACAGAGTGTCATTTATTATAATGTATTCCCTTTCTCCCTCCGTTGCTAAAGTACAGCAGAAAGTAGCTTTTCTACCAGAATGTGCAATTGGTCCCCCACTTCATTGAACCAATTTAGGACACTTGATTTCCTTTGTAAAATTGATTTTTCTCTCCATATTCACATTGAGGGCCCTTCAGGTTTTCAATCTGTGAGAGCATTGTGGTGGAGAGAAGGCACACCTGGAAGTTGAGAGGGCTGGTTTCTGACCAGCTCCCCCATTTAACACACTTGCATCAGTTTGAATTTTGGAAAGTATTTTAAAGGAATCATCTCAAGTCACTTAGCTTCAAAATTTAGGTTAAAAATATCCTCCAATTTCTCAGCATTATCAGATTAGAAAAAAAAAGGGGGGGGGGGCAGATCCTGCCCCAATTTAAACGGCCCTGAAGTATCCAGTGTGTCTGGGGTGTCAGTAGGAGCAAAGCACATCACACTGGGCTTTCCCACCGGGCTCCAGTCCTAGATCACTTTTTGGCCTTTTCATTGACTCTTTTACATTCTTTTAATTTCACTGATAACAAAATGGGCATAAATAAACAAATATACAGATGTATATAATATACAGTATATATATTTTAGGGGGCATGATCAGTTTCATGCTTCTGCGATTACAAAATGAGAATTCAAAGTGTTGCTTTAAATCATTAGTTATCAGTTCTCTTGGAGCCACCCAGCATCTCTTTGGTGGGTCCAGCGACACAATTTCGCCGCCATTTATGAAGAGTGGTGATGTAGGGACAATGGAAGTGCACGTGATCCAAGACTACAGGAAGGAAAGGGAGTCGTGTGGCCACTAATGCTCCCACTTGTCCCAGTCCACTCTTGCTGGGGCAGAGGGAGAGGGAGCGTCCTGAAATGTGCTTTCACCGGGGCCTGAAATCTTAATGGCCTTACAGATAAGAGCCCTGACATCCCGAGGCTTAGATTCCAGAGGAAAAATGGATGATAAAAACCACATAAATAGCAAGACAATTTCAGAGAGCGGCAAGGGTCACTGTGACTAGATGGTGGAGACTGGTGGTTACTTGTGAGCGGATAGTCACGAATCCCTTGGAGATGATGAAATTTAGTTGAGACTTGAATTATACGGAATGAACAGTACTTCAAATCTTGATTGCCTCTAGTTTGGGACAAAGCTTCCACATTTAAGTTCCCTTCTCTAGTTCAGGAACACAACGTACCTTATACGACGGTTTCCCGGGATCATAGTCCTTCATGCGTGATGGTCAGGATGAGCTCCGTGCCTGCCGTGCCAGCCCCCAGCCAGTGCCATGCATACCCGAGTGCCCAAACACTTGCTGACTGAATGAACGGAATAACATCTGAACCTGAACTCGCGTGTCATCCCCCAAATCGCTCTGCCCGGTTCTCCTGGTCTCAGCCAAGTAACACCCCCGTGCAGAGACCTGTGTGTCAGCTCCAACGATGCTCAACCACTGAGCCGCGCTGGCTGGGCATAAAACATTTATGTTTTAACAGCTACTCTGTACGAGAGAAGATTGATTTGTCCTTCTGATGTGTTGTTTCCATAGAAGCAGGGCTTACCTTTAAAGTGAAGATTATAAAGCTACCTAATTCATGTAAAATGAGGCTTCAAGCATATCAGTGCTTAATGCTTAAGTGTCACTGGGGGACTTGCTGCAGCCATTGATCGGGAGGCTGGGCAGAGCCCGTGGCTCGCCACGTTTGAATATGATCTTTCTGGTAGCAATTTAGTTTATTCTTAAAAATTTATCTCCTTCAGAAGGAGATAAAACTTCTTGGGTAAGATCACCAGAATATTAATAAATACCTTTTAATTAATGACTAGCATCAACTCCTCTTCATAATCATGGGAGGAATGGCACACAGGCATGAAACAGGCACTTTCAATTAAAGTAATTTATTGTATTCTTCCAGAATGGGCATAAAGAGCGTCTTGGGGATTGATATCACAACACAGTGTCATACACCATTCTCACCACTAGCCTTGTGTTGAACTTTTTTAAAGAACATAGTAATTTAAAAAAATCTAAATATTTACATATTAATAAAACATATATACAGAAGATTGAGACATTATTCATAGATATGGAATAATTTTCTTTTGCTAAGAAAGCCTATAGAAAGGATTTCTGAATAAAGTCTGAACAGTAGTCACAGTAAGTAAACACAAATACAATTTTAATTTACAAAATATGATTTCACTCTTGCAGTTATATGATATGTATTTCCAATTTGGGGATCCATTGCACATACTCGTGAGTTGAACAGTCCCCACCCTCCTCCAGGGGTGAACACTCCATGCTGTCGCCCGGTCTTGGAAGGACGTGCTCAGAACGCGCGTGGTGTATACTTAACAGATGCCACAGTGGGAAGGTGAACGTTTCTACCTCTGTTAGCAACACAGTCATCATGTTGTAATAGAGCTGAAAGGGCACTAATTAATCTTTTCAATTCCCTTGAGAAATACTTTCTTCTGAGAGGCAGCAGACCAGTTTGAAAACATATGTTGCAGAAAAACAAAAGCCCTGTTCACAGTATCTCACCAGACGTGGTGATCAGAGAGGCTGGTTTCAGGGGAGTGATTACCAGCTCGCCTCGCATGTAAAAGGCTAACTAAGGGTGTGATGGAAACAACCACTCTGAACCTCCAAAAAGACAATGAACAAAAGACACACATGTATGAGATGAGCTGTCTAGCAGTTGGATGGATGCCACAAGCCACACCTAACACCAGCTTCCTGCCACTGTTGGTTAAGAGCTGGTCTTCAGTGGAAAACAAAAATTCATCCCAGAGCTCCCTCCTCACTCAGGCTTAGCTGTTCAGTGTGATGCGGCACAAGTACCTTGGACAGGGGAGTAAGGCAGTTAGATGCCAGTCCTGGCCATGCCACTGATGGGTTACCTGGCCCTGGGCAACCATGACTCTCACTCCCCAGCTGCCTCCCTTAGTCCTACTAATAAGGACATCTACAATAACTCTGAGCTTTAACACTCTCTGACTCAATAAAATAAGTGCTAGGGAAATGCATTAAACAGTAGCACAGTAATTCCCCCTCGCCCCCATCCTGGGGTTTGGTGTTTCTAGTCCACATTTCTTTCAAGCCAAGTTTTGGCCTTTGGGTCAAGTGTCAAAGTTTCAAGGTAATTTGCTTTATAAAATAAATGAGGTGTAAATGCAGTGTTTCTAAATAAAATGGTATTTTAAATTCACCATCTTATGAAAGGAATCCAGATGAAAATATTTCTGTAAAACAAATATGCACGTGGCATGATATCTCTAAAATGAATCCAGATTTCATTTGTTGGCTTTATATAAAGTGGAGTGTAAGTGTACTAGGAACCAAATAAAATACGTAACATTAATGGAATATGTGTGTGGCGGGTTGCCAAAACACTGACCCACTCACTCGGCTAAAACCATCTGTCAAAACAGCTGGCAGGTATCAAGTAGGTAACTGCTTACTGAGTTTCTCACCTTTCAATGAGTTACTTTGTCACTGTGTCAATACCACCTCCTAAAAGGTTTTTCTTTCAAAGAAATTCATATATCACTTACCCTTATCCTATATAATAAAGAGCTAATATGCTAATTAGACCCAACAGCAGAACAACCATCTGGATGACCTTCCGGATGAAGCCGGACTGTGAGGGCTGAGGCAGCCGGGGCTGCGAGGGCCAAGCCCCTTGCACAAATGGTTATTTTGGGGGAACTGATGTCACAAATGATTTCATCTAACAGAAGGGCTATCCTGTCTCCCAAAACATCTTTTTCATCTTTTAAGCTGATGAAGGTCTAACTAATTTTAACAATTGCTCTCTTTTCAGTACTAGAAAGTGCCATTCTCCTTTATATAGCATCTAAGCAATTTGTGTTAAAATAACTATGCTTCAAAACTCCAAACATTCACATTGAGGTTATGGACAAAAACAGGGACGAGAAAGCTGCTTATTTTTAATGGACAATGAACTAACTGGATCAGATCTTGGACTTCAAGGGTGATAAATCAACTCTAGGAATGATTTTTAAAAATCTTATACCAAATTGGAGGCTTGCTTATCACAGTTGACAAAGATAGTACATCAAAACTATTCAAACAGGACAGGTAAACTTCACAGAACACGCACACTCTGCAGTACACTGAAATGCTAATGTGGATCTTTGAGGAAATTCAAAGGGAAGAGGTGCATATGCTAATGAGCACTGTCACTAAATGAAAGTCTAGGTGAAATCTGGCTCTGAGTCTTCCTTGTTTTCTCTCCTGGTGTCAAATATATTACCTACAACAGAGAAAGAAAATGAAGGGGGCACTTCTCTGAAGGCAGTTGCACACTTTCCTATGACATGGCTAGAGGTAGTTTGTATACGTGAAGAATGTTGTGGGTGAGGTGTCTGTGTTTCATGTTTAAATCACAAATTTTTAGCCAAGACTTTAGTTGTGCTAAATAAACAATTTTAGCCATTAGAAACTTGTAATGATTATTTTTGCAAGGAAGCCCTTGAATGTGTATCACTATTAGAGAATGTCCATATGTTGTCCAGTAACAGAAAAGAGCCAAATAAAATATGATTTACCTGTAAAACAGATTATCATGCAGCTATTCAAATATATATGTGCATGAAAAATGGTAATTTTTCAATTAAAATTAAAAGTGCTTATTAGGTTAAAAAAAATCCAACTCAGCAAACAAAATTTTATATAATTGATCTCCATTGGCTAAATAAAATATAGAGAAAAGTCTGGGGGGGGGGGATAGCCAATAATGATTGTCTCTGGGTGGTAAAATTAATTTACATTTTCTCCCTTACACTTTTCTTTATTAATGTTTAAAACGTATGTGAAGGAATGCCAATTGATGACAAAGACTGGTAGGCCCAGCTGAGCTCTGCACTACTCTATTTCAGATTCAGAAGCCTCCTTATCACATTTTAGAAAGCACTGTTATGATTTTACTTTCTCTATGCTCTTTTCTCCCACCACAAATGTCCCCAAGTCCTGGAAGGTTTTTGCCATCAGCCGCACTCTCCACACCTGGCTGCAGGTGGCTGGCCTCTGCCTGTCACAGTGGGCGGGGCTCTGGGGGCGGGTGTTTGTTCACCACAACCTAACACAGTGCTGATTCCTGGGAGCTGCTCCAAAATGCTCACTGACAGGGTTGAGGGAAAATGTTTTCCCACTATAAAATCTCTATCCATTTTTGTTAAGTCTAGACACAGAAGTTTGCTTAAATAAAATGGATCGAAACAAATGTCATTTGGCTGCCAGACTATAACCCTGACCTGTTAGATTCTGATTCATACATTTACACTCTCCTCTACGCTCCTCAATATACATGAATTTGGAAGAAAAGGAAGACCTAAAGTTAATAAAAGCATTGTTAAATCTTTAACAGCTCAAATAAACATGATAAAGTCTGGCCAGTGAGCCTCAAATCCCAGGAAGAAGCGCCTGTACAAGTAAGGTGGGGTCTCCTGGGGGTGCACGCAGGAGGGAGAGGTTAGTAATAGCCTTGTATTCAGAGAAGCCACCAGACGGGCGTTTTACTTCAGTGGCAATCAAGAGACAGGCTACTGTAATCAAAATTATTTAATTTCATTACTACAAATTTTGGGCACCAATCTGGGAATTCTTTTTCCCCTTTTCTAAATGATAAACAGTACTTCTTTTTATCATGCTGTTTAGTAGTTTGTGTTAAAATTCTGTCAAGAGTCTAGTGAAAAGACCTATAGGGCATTCTACTCCTGTCTTCATTATGACCTCACAGTGCTGGGCAATATTCCGGAAAGAATTCCATGAATTTGAAACTGCAGTGGACTTCAGGGGACTTACGATGGACATTCTAATTGTGGAGACTATGGGACAGTGAGATGGAATCCTGAAGGGATTAGCACATCCATCAACTCTTGGGATCTTTAAGAAACATGCCGAGGAAAGCTGGCTTTGGCTTAGGTGTAAGAAAGCTATGCGGTGTAATGACTGGGAGTCGAGAGGCCATCAACAGCTGTGAGACCTTGAGAAAGTCATTTAGTGTTTCTGGGCCTCAGGCTGTTTTACCTGTAAAATAAAAGGACTGGATAAAAAGGAGGCATGGGACTAGATGATCTCTAACGTTCCTTCACTCTCAGGGTCCTTGAAACTCTTTTCAGTTCCATGAGGGGTTCTACATCCCGTGTTCAATTTTCTCATCTGAAACATCTCTCTGCCTCCATCTTCAGGTATGGAAACACAAAGGGAATGGTTTTCAAGTAACAGTAATTTTTAAAAGCCCACTGTGTCAGATGACAGTGAGGATGGGCAGTGCAAATGCCCTGGGGCAGTGGGCTGGAGAGGGAGGAACCTGGACAGCACAACCAGAGCAGCATGGTATTCCTCCAAGGGGCCTCCTGAACTGCACAGTTTCATTATTAGCTGCACTTGGTGAGTCTACTGGGAATGGGCCAGGGGTGATAAGCACACGGCTATTCTGAGTTGTTCTGATATTCGGAGGGCAGATGGGAAGGAACAGTAGAGATCATGCATTTCAATTCTCTTAATTCATAAATGTGGAAACAAAGCCAAACAAGAAGAGAAATCCCTTTTATGTAATGATTATATGGTAAAACTTGATATAAGAAGGTCCTTTTTCATTTGCCCATTGACCTGTTGCTTAGCTACTCAATGGCAGAAAGCACTGTATTATTTACCTGGTTGAGCTTTCTCGCTGCTCCAGTGTTCTCTGACATAAGTCTGTCCTACACCTGTGAACTCTTGGTTGTCATCTCAGGGTAAGTGCTATCAATGAACACGTGACCTAGTAGAGTGCTTACACAGACTAGCTACTCCATTCACATTTGCTGATTTCCATTTAAACTTACCAGCCCACATCTAGAGAAGAAAATACTGCACTGAGCTTTTTCACTTAAGAGGATTTTTTTGGGCATCTGGGTTTTGTGGGTAGAAAATCTTCATGTATTCTTTTGAGGGCAGTCAATAGAGTCATGAGGCCAACTGAGGAATACATTGCTTGCCACATGGCTTGTGGCTTAGACACCTGTCCCGCTGGCTCTCGGGGATGAACTGATGCAGAGGCAGGAGGCCAGGACAGAAGGATATCACTTGAGAGTTAAATAATGTGGTCAGAATTATGTCTATGGCTTGATATTGTAGCAGACGCTCCAGGGAAATGTTGCATTGGGGCAATCTGGTTGTAACATTGGTAATGTGCCACCCATGCCAGATGCACTGGCGTATTCAGTCACTCAGTTAAAACACAGCATTCACTAGGTGCCCACTGTGTGAAGAGTTGTGACTGCCTGCCGCTCAAAGGCCTTTGGAGCAGGTGGCAGAGGACAGAATGGACATGAATTTCATCTTAAAACTGGTGATCCCTGTTCTAAAAAGAAATGTCATATCATGTTAAAATATGTTTTAATGTCCAAAGGTTTTGGGAGGCAAAATCTTGTGACACTAATTTCTTAGGACTTGCTGTTCTGAGGTTTTTAAGAATATAAAACTGTGAGAAAAATGTAGCTTTTCACATTCACTGTGACAAATATGTCTGACCACAGGGCACTGCACACCTCTGACTGTCGTCTGGGTCTGTTACAGAAGCATTCTGCTCAAGCACCTGCATCTCTAATGTTAAAAACATTTTCAATGCATACATTTTCCTTTGCTGTATTTTCCAGTGGGTGATGAAAATGTAAATGTGTTTTACCTGTTGGTGGTAGAGAGATGCTGTCCAGTCTTTCATCACCGTCAGCTACCTCTGCTGGTTACAAACATAAAACACAAATCTCATTAGTTTCAGGGAGCACATCCATTTCACCAATACAGTCACACAATTTTAAATCTCCATTATACATAGGAGTTTTCACCTTTCTTTTCCCTTTTCAGCTCCAGCCAGTTCACATTATAGATTTTAGTGCCAATATTTAAATAAAATATTTTAAAGATAAAATAAAATCAATTTTCCTGTATTGAGTATTTTTTATAGCTTATGAAGCTTATTCTATCGATCATTGATGATTTCAGTGCTTTTCGCTTATTTACATCGGCTTAAATATCCATCCAGATTTGGGGGTGAATTGTTGAAATATGATGCATGCGGTTAGTGAATTCTTGTGGTAGATTTGTGCTTGCATTTCCAGAACCATTCCTGTGGGGCGGGCTTAGGAAATCTTGAGAATGACTCTTTCTTTGGAGATTACTGGAAATTCAGATCTCGGAGCTGGCAATCTAAGTTGGCATCAATTCAGTCATAAAGAAAATCAGAAGGAATAAGCACTTTTTTAAAAGAGCCATCACTTCTGTTTTAAAATGCAAACATGTTTCAATCTCCTTATGAATTTTCCAAAGGTAGATCCTTCAGTCACAGAAAACCTTCCACTAAACATAAATACAGGTGCCCATATGTCTCCTGAGAGCTGATGGGCTTGTCCGTCTCCCCAGCATGCTACAGGAGAGGTCAAAACATTTCATCATGGCCATCTGCATAACGTCAGCAGTGCTCCCTGTCCCAGGGCTGGTGGCCCCGCAGGAAGTTCCCTGCCTGTGTGCATGTGAGGCTAGTCAAATGAGGGCTGCATTTGTATCACCTTGTAGTGCTCAGTTGGGAAGCAAGCTAGTCCTATGTTCTTGTGTTTTGTTGCTGTTGCTTTAAACACAATCAGGGCTCAAAGATTTCCACTCTACTCCACTCTCTCTCATCTTGTCCTCTGACGGGACACACTGACTCAGTGACCCACTGTCTGCTGACCCGCCCAATCCACCACAAAGAGAAAACACTGAGAAGAGAAAGACCAGTCAAGACCAATTTTGTTTGGAAAAAAGTAGAAACCCCTAAAAATTATGTTGTACATGAATATTTAACAACAAAAACATTCAAGTGAACAATAAGACAAATGGTAAGAATAAAATTTTGTATATAGATTTATAGATAAAATACAGGACAAATTAAAATATTAGTAGTGTTTCTCTGAATGAAAGGCTTATAAGTATTTAAAATTTTGTTCTTTGGGTTTTTACAATTATTCTGTATATTTAAAAAATAAATAACAGTTATTTTTATATTTAGAAGATATTATTTTCTTCTAATTAGTTTGATTGGATTTGATAGATGAACTACATGATAATTCTTTCATTGTCTAGGACTAAAAATTTTTTAAAGTATATTTTTATTGATTTCAGAAAGGAAAAGGGAGAGGGAGAGAGATAGAAACATCAAAGATGAGAGAGAGTCATTGATTAGCCGGTCTACATGCCCTGACCAGGAATTGAACTCTGACCTCCTGGTTCATAGGTCGACGCTCAACCATTGAGCAACACTGGGTGGACTCATTGTCTAAGATTTAAAAGATTCTCCAGCAATAATAATAATAGCAATGCTAGCCACCATCATTTATTAGATGCTTCCCATTTACTGAGCACTTGACATACACTGAGTCATCTAACCCTTAGAAAAACCCCTCAAGGCAGGTCTGTTATATCCATTTTAACAAATGAGGACACTGAGACAGAGAGGCCAAGGAATGTACCTACGGGTGACACAGCTAGTAAGTGACACTGCCAAGGACTTGACTCAGGTTTATGCTTGGACTCTTAATCTCTTTGCTATTAATCATCCAAACATATATCGCATATATGACTATGAGCTAATTTTTAAATCTTCAAGTTTCAGTTCATTTTTTTTAAAATATATTTTATTGATTTTTTACAGAGAGGAAGGGAGAGAGATAGAGAGTTAGAAACATCGATGAGAGAGAAACATCGATCAGCTGCCTCCTGCACATCCCCCACTGGGGATGTGCCCGAAACCCAGGTACATGCCCTTGACCGGAATCGAACCTGGGACCCTTCAGTTCGCAAGCCGACGCTCTATCCACTGAGCCAAACCGGTTTCAGCAAATTTCAGTTCATTTTATATTTGAGTAACTTTCTCCTCTTTCCATTTATATTTCTTTTCATTTAGTTATAACAAAAATCGGTTCTAGGTATAAGTTGATCTTCCTTTTGTAATTAAGTTATCTTCACTTTTAAAAAGCAGGCCTATGCAATTATGTGCTTTAGTAAGAACAATATATGTAAAAACATATATAAGTTGGTATATACCAGCTGCATGAACAGGGCACAGGGTCATGGAGGAAGAACATGACTGTGTTACTCAAATTTAATTATAATATCTGTCAATAACAATGACCTCACCATCTTTCTTTCCTGGTGACAAATTGTAAAATTTGGAAAAGATTGAGAAAGTCCAATAAAAATTTAATAGCAGTGACAGTTTTACTTGTAGAGCTAACACACACACAAAATTGCAATTTCAGCTCTGAGGAAATAATCTAATGAAAATGATAAAAATCCACACCAGGAAAGGAATCATTCCAGTTATAGAAAAAAATTATTACATGTAATGAGAGCCCCAAATGAATTTCTGTTTGGATTCATATAACAACCTTTCAGATCTGCATGGGGCATTTTTTCAAGAGGCAGTTTGAGCCGCCTTCCTCTTTTTTTGTTGTTGTTAAGCCCCACCCGGGGATATTTTTTCCATTGATTTTTAGAGTGAGTGGAAGGGAGGGAGGAAGAAGGGGAAAGAGAGAAAGAGAGAGAGAGAGAGAGAAAGAGAGAGAGAGAGAGAGAGAGAGAGAGAGAGAGAGAGAAATACCGACGTGGGAGAGACACTGGTTGCCTCTCTCATGCTCCCTGACCAAGGCTGAGGATGGAACCTGCAACCCAGGTACGTGCCCTTGACCAGAAATTGAACCCAACCCTTTTCTGTGCCGGCTGATGCTCTAACCACTGAGAACACTGGCTAGGGCAGTGAAGCTTTCTTAAACAGTGAGCTGATTAGCTTGCCCAGGTGGAGTCTGTATCTAATTCCAGGAATTGCGCCAAATATTATAAAAAAAAAAAAAAGTTAAAATTGTGGAATATCTGTGAGACACTGTTTGGATTATCATTTGGACCAAAAATAATGAAGACAAAAAGCAGGAGAGCAAGTAATATTTTTGAGAAGCCTCTGAGTTCCTATCAGCATGACAATGGCTCTAGTTCCAATTTGCTGGGGTCCCACTTTTGTGTTGCTTGAGGAGAATGAAGTGTCACAGGATGTGAAGAAATGGGGAGACAAAACCTATTTGGCAGGTCACTGCTGATGTGCTGGTCTGGTCTGTGTGGCAGGGTTGGATTCTGGAGACACCTTCCACATTTTTTTTTAAATCCTCACCTGAGGATATGTTTTGGTTTTTTTTTTAATTGATTTTAGAGTGAGAGGAAGGGAGAGAGAAAGAGAGGAGGAGGAGACAAACATCAGTTGGTTGCCTCCCATACACCCCAACCGGATTGACCTAGAAATCTGGGTATGTGCCCTGACTAGGAATCAAACTGGCAATCTTTAGGTGAACAGGCTGATGCTCCAACCAACTGAGCCACCCAGCCAGGTGGCACCTTCCACTTTTTGGATGCTAACAGAACCTGCTAGAGGGGCAGAAAAGTGCCAAGGTGCTGATCCCCAATATTTAGGCAGATAATCTAAACCTACTGGTCAAAGTGAAAATGTCCAAAATCAAATATGATGAGAACTACGGAGCAGGCCACACAATGTTCTGGGCACGTGCAAGGCTACCCCGGAAGGGAAGGGCTGGGAGCAGTCTACGGTTTGGGACCATTCTGTAGAAGCAGGCATGGGCGTGTGGAAATGAGCCTGTGTCATGTGGTTGAGAAATGTGTTCACTGGTCAGTCTGTTTGTGGGACAGAGAAACAGGAATGGGGAAAAAAGTCCCTACTGTGTGCATGTGTGTTTGTTGGGGGGAAGCGGGGAAGGGAATAGAGACCAGAACTCATAATAATTTGTCTTAGCATCTGAAATAGGAAAAAAAGGTGTGTTTATGTATAAAATATATAGTATGGGGAAACAGAATTTAAACGGATCTTCCTATTTCAGTCACGTGGCCCACTGCCAGGAAGGCAGTTTCTGTGTCTCTGAGAAGAGGCCTCTCCAATACACTCAGCAGACACTCGACAGTCTCCCCACTATTTGTCTTCAATGTTTCAGGCCCTTCAGGGACTTGTAATCACCTCCAGCCATGGGCACATGTTTTGTCCACAAAGCCCTCTCCTTGCTATCTCTGGGTTCCTCTGCAGCACCCACGTTAGTAACATCAGCATTCTGGACTTACAGTTCTTGTCCCTCAAGCCCGCAAGGAGCTCTAAGCATTTCTCCCATTTTCCACTTACCCTACCAGCCCATGTGAGACAAGAAGGGACCGGCATGCTTCTGTGGATTCTGAGGGGAGGAATGTGCTAGCCCACCTCAGACTAGAAGCTGGTGGCACCGCTGGGGTGGTGTGTGGAGAACCAAACACTAGCTGGTTCTTGCTACTTTGGCCCTTTGCCTTTCCTTTGGGCTGAGTATTAAATTTAAGTCTCTTCACTATGACACCTTTAGATCTCTCTCAAACCTGAATATTAAAGTTAGTGTCCCTCTTAGGGGGATCAACAATTATCCCCTGTAAATCAATAGACAAATGGAAGTTCTTACATACCCAACAGTCAAGATTGCCAAGGCAGGATTTAGGCAACACAAGACCAACTTAATACTAGCAACCACACTGCTCAGGCTACATACTTGAAATCTGATTTGGGATATAAAACAGAAGAGACACAGCACTCAATATGGTATTAGTGCTTAAGCATTACTTACTGTGTAAAATGATTGAGCAATTATCTTTGATAACACTTGTCATTTACTGTAAAACATTTTTTTTCACCCCAATCCTTTCCTGGAGCCTGAAATCTAAAGGGGCTAAAGTAATACAAAGAGCCTGGCTGGTGTGGCTTAGTGATTGAGCACCGACCTATGAAGCAGAAGGTCACAGTTCAATTCCCAAATGGGGCACATGCCTGGGTTGCAGGCTCAATTCCCAGTGGGGAGCATGCGGGAGTCAGCTGATTGATGTTTCTCTCTCATCAATGCTTCTATCGCTCCCTCACCCTTCCTCTCTCTGAGATCAATAAAAATATTTAAAAAAAAATAAAGTAATACAAGAGGCTTTGTGAGGTGGCCAAGGCGGAGGCTGGGCCTTTAGCATAAGAAAGCATAGGAGACCCTGCTGACAGCAGTGAATAGTGTCACTCAGTTAGCCTGCCCTGAGTGAGGTCAGGCACCACAACACAAGACTCAGCCTTTGGGGGAGGAAAGGAGAAGAAAGGAAATTAGGAGGGAACTACGAAGATGGGGGTGCAGAGAAGGAAATAAGAGAAAGGACTTGGGGAGGAGGAAGAAAGGGCACTCTGGGACAACCATGTGAGCGGCCACAGGCATACCCTAAGGGGCCCTAAGGATCTTGTTCCGGAGAAGAGAGCTCAGGGACGGTGCTGCCCTGTGGGTTTTGGGGTATTTAAACCTCAAGGAAGAAACTGATGAAAGAACATTCTCTAGGTTCTCACAGGAACTAGATGAGCTAAACAGTAAGACTTTTTGCTGTGGACTATTTTCCCTTCTTTTCCACTGATTGATTCGCTGGTTCATTTGTTGGTTCCACGCTGTGCCACACAATGTTTGGAACAGAAACATGACTCAGAAGCCATCTGTGCTCCGGAGGCTCTCATGGTCACTGGAACAAACAGGTGGGTGACTCCTCCGGTGGCAGAAGACTAAAGTGCTGCACTGCCTATGAAGGCTCCAGGAGGAAGAACCTGATGCTATGACAGGCAGAGGGAAAGCGTGAGTTGGAAAACCTAGCATATTTCAGAACAGGAAGAGTCTGCAGATGAGGCTGGTGAGGGGGTTGGGGCTGACTATGAAGAGCCTTGTCTGCCACACTGAGGGCAGGGGGTGGTATGTAGAAGGGGATTTTACTCTGGGGAACCAGGAGAAGTATTTAGTTGGGGCAGGTAAGATCAGATTTCATTAGCTGAGGCAGAGAATGAAGTCTAGGGTCTCGGGCCATGGCCATGTCTAGGGCTGCACACCTGAGAGCCACTGATGACGGAACAGTTCAAGTCAGGAGTGAGGATTTAGAATGGGAAAAGTAAGAAGGACAGAAACTTGGGAATGCTGGCTTTAGGAGACAGGTGAAGAAGAGGAAGTGAAGACCGAAGGCATTGCCAGAAAATGTGGAGGAGAAACAAAGAGAATGAAGTCATAGAATCCAAGGGAAGAGAGCTTCAAGAAGGATGGGGTTCCACAGAGTAGAAATCAACATGGAGGTTGTCGGAGTGTTAACATAAAGAGAGTGAAATCTGGTCGCTGGGATGTGAATGCAGCAAGAGCTCACGTAGAAAACGAGGTCAGAGGGCAAAGTGCAATGGATTCTAAAGTGAACTGGGATGGGGGAGCCCACTCAGGGATGCAAATCTATTTGGAAGAATTCTGACCAACAATGCGAGGAGAAAGAGAAGGTAGTGGTTTTAAGAAATGGCCAGGATAAGGGAGTTGTTTTGCTTTTGGTTGGCAACGGGAAGGAAGATAAGGTCATGAGCATTTTTTGTGTCATTATGTGTCAGTTTTCTGTTACTGACAATACCTACATTGTCTTATTCTATCTCTGAAAACACCCCTGCGGTAGCTGTTAGCCTTGTTATATAAGTGAAGGATGCAGGCCTGCTAGAGGTTGAAAAATTTGTCCACAAGTCCCAGGAATTTGTAAATGGCAGCTCAGAGCTAGGAATTCAGACCGGTTCTTCCCACTCTATCAGTCTCTGTGATGAGTTGTAGTGAAGGAGAAGAAGGCAGGGAACACTGAGAGACAGGGAGGATGACCAGATCATTTATCCAAGTCTGGAACCTTTGACTTTATTAATAATGACGCTGGGACAGCAGTGGTAAAGCAACGCTGCTCAGGCATGGCAGGCTGCTGGTTCCCACCCGGGATGCCAGGGGCCACGGGTTATGACTCCTCAGCGACCTCCACCGCTTCCAGGCACTGCCGTGTATGACGCAGACAATCTCAGAGAAGATACACTAGCTTCCTTTGTAAAGACATTCGTGTACAACATGTGTCTGAGCCTCCCAACTCTGAGGCAGGCTTTATTTTTATGTCCACTCCATGAGAAGGACACTGAGGATTAGAAAGATGGGGTGACGTACCCAAGACCCAGAGCTGGTAAAGAGCAGCCATAACACTCGAAACCAAATCTTCTCCCATTATGACTTATTACCTGATATGATAATACATATTTTACCAATTAAAAATATTAGTTGTCATAGCACTTTCACAGGTGCTCCCCAGGCAGTGGGCCAGGATTTGGTAGCTGGTGCTGAAAGAAAACCCTTGAGTGCATCCTTTTCCGGGGACTGTGCCAGTGGTAGCTGTCACTCAATGGCACAGAGGAAAAAAACCTAGTAGTCTATTGCTCTTTATAAAAAGAGCATCAATTAAATATAAAAGAAAAAGATGATGGGGAGATTTTTAATAAAAAAATCATCCAAAGCTACATATTTTCTTTGTCAGACATGACCTTGGGACCTAGAGCTTTGTAAATTGCTGATATAACTATCATAGGTAGGTCAGGGGATGCTCAGGTAGAGCTTACATACATAGGTGACCCTACAGCTGAACATTTTAGAGTCCTAGTAGCGACTTTCAGAGAAAAGAGCTGTAAGGTTTTCATACTGAAAACCACTTGGTCCCTTGGTGCCCATGTGTCTCGTGATGCTGCCAGGGTCTCCCCAGCCTGTGCCAGGAGCTCTCCCCGAGGCCGTCAGCTGTGCTCCACCGGCAGGTCACCGTGACTACCACTCCCTGTGAGTTCACATACTTTAGGGTCGGTTAGCGACACAGCCTCATGCATTGTACTGCTTTCTCATGGGTCCCATGCCACCCAAGCCTGTAACATGTCAGCACTTCAGGTCTGTCTCCCAGACTCTCACACTCGAGCCCCAGAGCACAGGTGGCTCTGAGCAGGGCAGACACTGAAGTTTGATCAGGATTAAAAAAATATATAGAGAGAGGTTTGTGACCTCCTGAGATGATTATTTTTACGTGATAGCAGAAAACTGACCTCAAAGGGACTCTTCACTGCTAAACTGGCCGACTGTCAATGGGGAGGTTGAGACTTCAAATGACTGAATAGTCATAATTCAACTTGTGTTCACTTTTCCTGGAAGATATTCCAGAATCACCAAGCCCAGATTTAAAAAAATGTTTAAATAAATATATATTTGACTTAAAATCTCTATTTCATGGTGTTCCAGGTGGAATGATTACTGTTATTTTTTTTTTTTTTTACCTTAAACAAATAGTACATTTTATCAAGTTAGGCAGATTCAAATAAACAAAAATCAATGGGCAATGGAAGCAAATCACAACAGAGACCCACTTTCCTCCATAAGAATGTAAGCCCACAGATGAGGTTAGCAAACTTTTTCCTTTGTACTATTCAAAGTGAATGGCCTGACATATTTTCACTATTTAATCTTCAGGTGAGTTTCAAAACTCATTTGAATAAGACTTTAAAAAACAAAACCATAGCACGTTTATGTAGAGCATCTCCTTCAAAAGACAAGAGACGGTGAAGCACCCGAGAGCAAAGCTTGCACTGTGCAATGCCTGGGAATTCAATAAAGGGCTTCTGCAATTATTTTCCTGCAGCGCATTCATACCTGAGCCTCTTTTTAACCTTCTTCTGGCCAGTTTAATCTGATCCTGTAGAATCTGCACCCAGTCTCTCGGGCCAGGCAGCTTATCCACATGATTAGCAGTACAGTACTTTTCTGTGAAGACTGAAAGAAAATGTGAAATATTGTTAAATGCTTCAACAAATAAAACAGGCAGAGATCCGAAACAGAAATGTATCCCAAGAAGAAAAAACATTATATATATATATAATATATATATATATGCTAAAAGACATGGATGGGTTCTGCACTAGATAGCTTCACTATCCATATGACATCCCTGTGGTGGGGGTGGAGCCTGGCAGGGCCCTGACGCTATAAAATGTACTGGGCTTCAAAATGAAACCAGCTCTGCATAGTGGGGAGTTTTTATGGAAAGTGCCTTATGGAAAGTGCATGTCCCTGTATATATGTCTTATGAGCAGAGAAAATGCTTCCTATGGATCCTCTGGTCCCATGACAAAATTCAACAACTGTATTAAAATATTTCACTTTTTAATTAATTTAAAATCTTATGCAAAATTACACACAAAAAGATAATGTTCTCATGGTTATTCCTACTAACTCCAACAGTTCTCAGAATAAATAGAATGTAATTGTTTCTTTTTAATACATTTTTATTGATTTCAGAGAGATGAGGGAGAGGTAGAGAGAGATAGAAACACCAATGAGAGAGAAACATCAATACTGGGGAATCGAGCCTGTGACCTCCCGGCACAAGGGCAGACGCTCAACCTACTGAGCAACACCGGCTGGCGGAATGCAGTTGTCTCTTAATGAAAGTTCCAATTCTATGTGGAGGCAACTCTTGCAATATTCTACTGGCTTCTAGGAAAGAGCTATCTATTAAGCACAAAAGAAACTATGGAGTCATAGGACAGGACGAAAGGGAGGCCAGACATTATCTTAACCCGCCCAGTGTGTGACTGCACAGGCAGGAGCTGGCGTGGACGCTGCTGCTCCGCATGTCATTCCTGAGTGCTCCCCAACGTGCTCTCCTCTCTGTAGGTCACGACCAAGTATGCACTCACAGCACACTGCCCGCTTGGTATTTAAAATATCTGGCCCGGCTGGCATGGCTCAGTGGTTGACCTATGAACTAGGAGGTCACCATTTGATTCCTGGTCGGGGTTATGTGCCTGGCTTGAGGGCTCAATCCTCAGTGTTGGGCATGCAGAAGGCAGCCGATCAATGATTCTCTCTCATTATTGATGTTTCTATCTCTCTCCCTTTCCCTTCCTCTCTGAAATCAATAAATACATATTTAAAATGTTGGTCATTTTAATGTTTTAAAGGCTTCTTTTAAAAAGAAATGACAAAGGAAAATGTTGATAGATTCAACTACTCTGTAAAACTATAAAATTTCTATTGAATAGAAAATAAACATTACATTAGAATGAGAAAAGCTAATTGCACTAAATGTGACTGAAAAGGTTCAATATCTACCACTATATAAAGCACTCACTCAAATAAAAGAGCAATTTCAAAAGACTCTATAGATAACGAACAGTTATTTAGAAAAATGTTTAATAAATATGTAAGCCCCCAAATTGCAAAACACATTTTATACCTACTAAGTGAGAAGAGCAATGTTAAAAAGCTAATACTTAATATTGACAAAATTGTGGGGGCCTGGCATATTCAAACATCACTGTTAGCATAAGCTGGCAAAACCGTTTTGGGAAATAAGATGGTAATATATAATGAGAGGCATAAAACTTTTACACCTTTGCATTGGAAATCTTACTCCTAGAAATTTATCCTAAGAAAATAATTGGAAAGAAAGAAAAAATCCACACACAAATGTAAAGAACCCAGTCATGCGGGAGGAGCTGGGTGGCAGCGGGAGGATGGATATGGGAGTGAGAGGAGGGTCCCTTTGAGGAAGCTACTGCAGCGTCTGAGTTGGGGCCGCATGAGTAAAGGTGGACAGGTGACCAGAACTGTATATAGAACAGGCATTTCTGTTCAATCACATGGCCTGGGAACTATAGAAGAAAGGGAGGTTTGTGGGGGCAGAGGCAGATGTATTAGGCTTGGTTTGGGACAAGTTGAGTTTGGGTACCCTTCCCTACACAGAAGCCAACAGTTCAGGGAAGGGTCCAGGCTGGTACCAGTTTGACAGGCACAAACATACAAGTGGTAGTTAAAATGAGAGAACAAACACTGACTAGGGAGAGCCTGTGGAGTGAACAGAGCGCTGGGCCACGCACAGAGCCAGCGAGAACCCCGATGGTTGAATGGAGATTAAGGCGCAGGAGTCCACGAAGGAACCCAGGGTGGGCCAGAGTCTGGAGACCCAGGAGGGGTCCTGTAAAGCCAGCGAGTGGTGCTGATGGAGGAGGACCCGCAGTTTAAGTGCAGAGGAAGGGCCAGGAAGGGAGGTTTGGAAAGTGTCCACTGAAGGTCATCAAGGAGTGGTGGGGTGGCCACAGAGGACACTCTCAAAAAACTGGGTTCATTTGGAGGAAGGAAGAGAAGAAGGGCTGCCAGGGGAGGAGGGCTGAGGGCCGGGAAACCTGGGCATGTTTGCAGGCTGACGGAAATAGCAATGTTATGCGGGAAGACAGGAGCCAGGAAAAAGGGGGTGATAAAAGGGTCGGGTCAGGCTAGAAATGGAGGGTCGCCCTCAAACAGGAGGGGCTTCTTCCTCTGACCCAGAGGAAGGGAAGACAGACAGGTTGAGAAATGGTTACAGGCTGGAGTAATCACTCCCAGACCTCCTTGCATGTACGGTGAGGGGAATGGAGAGTGTGGGGAAAGTCTGGGATTGCCTTTGAGAAGAACAGAAGTAGGAAAGCAGCAGGCTGACAATGGGAGGACACCAAGCAGGCCTGTGGTGTGGGCAACAACCTGTAGGGGCAGGCTGTTTTTCCCAGGGCACTTTGCAGCTCCTCCTTGGGAGCGGAGTCCCTGGATGGTAAGGCTGCTCTTGGGTCAGAGCCCAGCTGGATAGTCTTGGCAGAAGGACAGGGATACAAAGCACTTGAAGATGTGCTGCCACCTGGAATGAATGACCTCAACTTTCCTCACTTCCCCTTCCTGCGCAAATCTGGGAAAGAAGCGAGGCCAGAAAAAGGCTCACAGACTTAGAAAAATCTATAGAGACCATGGAATGGAATTATCAACAGGGTTGGCAGGAGGTGGCGTGGAGTAAGGGCAACTGGGAGTGCGGTGCTGGAGTGTAAGTGGGGCAGCGAGCAGTTCCGGATGAGAATGCTAAGGTGTGCTCACGGGTGGGGCTGAAACGTAGTAGAGGTGAACGTCACTGTGGATGAGGTCTGGATACTACTGGCTGGGCGTCAGATGGACCTTTCACGTGAACAGTGAAGTTATCGAAGATGGCAGGGCGACAGGGAGTGCGAGGAAGATATGTAGCTATGGTAAGAATCTCAGAGGAAAGGACCCAGCCCAGCCCAACTGAGTCGAGGAGGAGTGATGGTTAGGAAGCAGAATTAAGGACCAGGGAAAGTGTCACCCAGGCTGCCCGGTATATGATATGTGGGATGGGAGATACACAGAAGGAACAGTACCTCGGGGGTGGGGTTTGCTTTTGAATCTCCCACACCGGGTTATAGACACCTCAGGGTCTTCACTGAGTTTGGACCCCCACAGCACCTACAACAGTACTTAGTACTAAGAACTCAATAAACATCTGATTTGTATTTAGCACCCTATTCGTTTATATGAAAGTGTGTAGCACCGAAATAACTGAATACATTGTCTTAGCAGATAAACATCTCGCCCCTTGTAATATCATTTATATAATTAATTTCCATAGCAACCCCTCTTTCCTTAGATTGTGAAATGCAGGGTGTCCAAATTAGCACCCATTGGGAAGTAGTGGCTCCAAATGAACAAAGTAGATTTGGGTTATGCCCACATCAAAACGACTCTCAGCCACTACGTGTGTCAACAACCAGCGTTAGGAGGACCAGAGGGAAGCCTGGAATGCTTCTCCCACGCTGTGAGGAGCTTCCAATAGATCTTTTCAATCTAATCTTGAGCTCAGGTATTCTGTCATTCCTAGAAAGGCAACCATTTCTGGTTGTTTTTTCTCTTTTCAGTTAAAACCCATCCAGTTTCAATAAAAAACAACAACCAGGAACTCTCTGCCTCCTGTGTCTGTGTCTGAGATCACTGAAGGCACAGCACAGGCTTCTTGAAAAACACCTGCACAACAAATATTTCCACTGGGTCTATTACCGACATCCTATTTCTTGGGTTACATTCATACTTAAAAGCGACTTTTAACTAGGACCTATCTGCCGGAGACGAAATCCTATTCTGTTGCAAGTGCAGATGAGGCCTTAGGCCAAAATATTGTGATTGTATTGACCTGAAATCGCTCAATATGCTATGTGAATAGCAGTATCGAGTAAGCAGAATACATTTTTGCTATCTGATTCTATAGCTAAAGGTCAAGCTATTATCCTGGTAACAGTTCCATTAGGAGTAATGATGTGAAAAGAGGTATTGCATTAATGTACTGGGGTTCCTACTATGTTAATAGTGGCTCATTAAGAATCATAGAACATTTTGCATTCATCCTTAGAATGCAATAGGTCCTAAAAAGAAATTTTTTTCCTTTTCTATTTTACATATTAAGGGGAAGCAAAAGCTAATTTCAAACAAGTCCAAGTAATCTGAACAAGTGGATGAAGGCCAACAATTAAACTAAAAAGAGTTAAAGCATCTACTCTGCTTAATATAATTTGAGGTCCCAAGGCACAAAGAGTATGTTAAATCACTGGAGAAATGACAAATGTTCAATTTGATCTGTACATGAATAATGACTTTTCTCAGATGTTTGCATTCAATTGAGCCGTGCTCTTTAATTGTCTATAAATAATGAACAGGCTAGTGGTGGCTGAGCAGATCCTTCCCTCCCTAGGACTGTGGCATTTAACATAATCATCAATGAACACAGCAGAGAGTGGCGTGTCTGCATGCAACACGCTGAGAACAGAGCACACTGGCCGGGTTCCCCCAACAGCTGTGTGTTCACACCGTTCCTTGAGGACTCTATCGGATTTGCCTGGCTCTCTATGCTGGGAAAAGCAGAATATGGTATGGATTTTTAAAGGGTGTCATTGGATCATACA